TGAGGGAAGCTGGGACCGGGCTGGCTGTAAATCTATTGCTACAGTGTACTGGACGTGTGTAGTGTATATGTAGTACATATATACAGCACACACCTCCACTACACTACAGCAATAGAGTTACAATTCTCCGCTGCTAACATGAATAGGTTAAATCATGATCCATAGTACAGAACATGTAGTTGTACTATGGATCATTTAAAGTCACCTGTCCCTTTAACCTCCCTGGCAGTATTCCCGAGTGTGGCTCGGGGTTAACTTTCAGTACCAAGAGCGGTAACCACGAGCCACACTCGGGATTGCGCAAAAGTGTCACTGACCTTGTCCCTGCGAGCCCGCGGTGTGCTCTGCTATGTGCACCCGGCCGATGCCGGCATTCGGGCGTCACAGCGGGGGCGGAAACCGGCGGGAAATTCAAAAGTGCAAACATAACATTTACACAGAATACACACAATACAATGTAATCTGCTATAATTACATATTTGTATCAAACTATTTCACTTCAATTTTGTCCCTAGAGCTTTGTCCAGTGCCCTGCCTGCACTTTTATTGTACTCTATTGACTGTGGTACGGATCAGGCAGCGCCCCCAGAATTCCCATTTACTATACCATTTTTTTTCCATTATTATATTATAATTTTTTATTATATTATAATTTATGATTTAGTGTTTCAAACTTTATCATACCCGGGATGTCTACTGGGCTCTTGTTTGGACAGATTTAGGCGAGTTATTCCTAAGATTTACTATGAATTACAGGCCTACATAATAAAACAAATTGCCATGAAAAGCAATGTACCGCTTTGGCATGCTAAAATCTTGCATAAATCAGACTGCCAGGGAGGTTAGAAAAAGTATCGGTAATTGGTATCGGCAAGTACATGAGAGGAAGTACTTGTACTTGGTCCTGAAAAAGTGGTATGAGAACATCCCTAATTGTCACTTTTCCATTTGAGTTTTTACTCAGATTAAAAATACTCTTAAAGAAGGTTCCCAGTGAGTTGACTAGGTTGCAGTGGTATATATTTAGCCAAGGATGGGAAGAGCTGTGAATAAGCGGAATTTTAGTGCATTAAGCGGTTTGCTTGAAGTTCCTCCGCAAGAATCAAATAGAAAATGAGACCTGTCTGAAGAAGTCCAGGGGATATCTGAAGCGGTTGGTGATACAATTCACTGTCACTGATCTAGAACTAAGTTTATTTATTGGCTACAGAATTACTTTATTCATGTCAGTTAAGCTGCACAGATACTCTAGAGCAGTCTCAATCTGCCATTGTGAAACTTCAGTCCCAGGCTAAATAGCAGGTCCTGGATGTGTGGTTAGCAACCACACATCATGCTCATCTCACTTGAAGGTGTTAGGTTGTTTATTTGAATGGAAATGTCAGATACAGCCAATGCTGTAGACTACCCTTCATCAGGGCATGAGAAACAAAAGTAGTGAGTTCAGAAAAAGCTTTACTTTGTAGCTTGAATCAGGGCTGGATGAGTACCGAGTGTCAGCATGACCCATTTGCAGCAAGGATTGGATCTAGGCTAAATAGCAGGTGGCATTTCCTGTGCTGGAGCTGTAGTAATATGAAGCCTGTGCAATCTCACCCTTTCCCATAGTGTAGTGGCAGGAGCAGAGACTTTTGGTGGAAAGGTGAGAAACAACAGTTCATACATCTGCCAGATTATTTCTACATACCCTAAAGTATTATTTGTAATTTTTACATCATAAGCATGGTCCAAAATCAAAGTTTTCAGTTCCTTATTAAAACAAAACGTGCACAACATACCTTTGAAATGAACCTTTTCAGTACAAGTATAAGTAACAAAGTGGAAGCTGTCACTCCAACTGTTATGCCAGCAACATAGAAAGCTGAAGAAGCCCTAGAACAACAGAACAGAAAATAAGGAAATCCACTTGAAAGATATTTGCACTCAATACATTTTTATTGTTTTAACACAGTGGGCTAGAGAAAACATTTAGAGAGACATGTGAACACAAAGTTTCTACATGTCAAGTACATTGTACAGATCCTCATTCTCAACTATGCAAAGTAAGATGTACTATCACTATGGCTATAGCACCATTGCAGGAGGAAGAAAGGTTGTAAATTCCACAGGTTCCATATTTATACTTTGCATAGTAAATTCGCGAGAAAAAAAGATTAAGAAGCAAGTCAAATGTCAGAGGCTCTGTTTTCAGTAGTGTGTTATTTCTGGTTGTTTAAAGGGATCCTGTCACTAATAAAAACAGCTCTGTAAAAGGAAAAGCACTCTACTTACCTTTTTGGAGCCCATGTCTCAAAATGCTGTGGCTTCACTGCTCCCTGGCCACTTCAAGTATTTCTGGGTATGTAAATACCTGCTTCTCCCATCGGCTTGTAGTGTTGTACAAACTAGGGATGCACAGATACCGGTATTTCGTTATCGATTACCGATATTTTTTCCCCGTTACTTGCCGATACCGGAAGACCCATTCAGGATGCGAGGCGGCGTGTAATGACTCCCCACCTGACTTCCTGATTAGCCGGGAAGCCAGGCAGCGTGTAAAGACTCGCCACTCGGCTTCCCGAGTAGCAGGGAAGCTGTCCCCGTGCTTCTCATCACTAGGTGACAAGAAAGCATGGAGCCTGCTTTCTGGCCAATCAGGAAGCCGGGCGCTGTGTAATGCTGCGGCGCCCAGCTTCCTGATTGGCCGGGAAGCTGGCTCTATGCTCCCTTGTCATGATGTGACAAGGGAGCATGAATCCAGCTTACCGTCCAATCAGAAAGCAGGGTGCCGTGTCATTACACGGCGCCTGGCTTCCCGATTGGTCGGCAGCTGGCTCCATGCTCTCTCGTCACAAATGCTCTCTGCCCAGCTTCCCGATACCGGAGGTATCGGGCTAGGCATCGGAGCTTTGGGCGAATACGAGTACTCGCCCAAATATTTGGCCTCACCACCGATACTAGTATCGGTGCATCCCTAGTACAAACTTTTGGGAGAACCCATTGCATGTGGTGGGAGGGCAGGTATTCAACCCATCTTACTACCCATCTACTTGCACCTGCTGGAGAGCAGTAAAAGGTGCGTCATTTGAAGATATCACTGTAAAGGCCGCTTTTACATTGCAGATGTTTTTTGCATGTGACCCTGTGGTGAAAGGGTCAATCTAAAGAAAAATCCCATCAACAGACTTACCTACTCAATTTGCCAGCAAAGCAAAATAATAAGAAGCCACTTATGAAAAGGGCAAAAAGCCGAGGATTGAACCCTAAAAATAAAATGCGACAAAAATCGAAATTAATAAAAAATACTGCAAACATAAAACAAAGAAAAAAAAAAAGATATGAATGAAGAAAGTACTACCTGGACTCAAATATCTGGGACTATGTTATTATGGGACTTTCAAAGAATGTATACTAACAATGAAATACATAAAATTATTCATTTTATTAGTTTCCATTAGAAAATAAACAAAAAAAATGAGATAAAATACACAGATAAAATCTGGACGCAGTACGAACCTATACAGGACCATAACTTTATCAGGATGATTTGTCCATAGTGTTCTTTGTATATACAAGATGGCTGTAAATGTTTTGCTCTTAATTGGTTGCTATATGAACTGAAGATCTAATGGGTTTTTGTTTTTAACAGAAACAAATTAAAAGAATAATTCCATGTATTTCAAATCAATGGAACAACACTTTTTTTTTCACAGAAAGTGTTCTTCTGATGTTGACGATATTACATTTATAATATATTAGCTATTCTTTAAGTTACTAGCATTAAGTAAAAAAATACATGAAACTCCTACACTGATCTGGTGGTATCCATACATTTTTCGGGAGAAAGTAAGAACGGCTGACAATGCACTTGTTTTTTACCAAACTCATACCATTCTAAATGGCACCCCAACATACTAAGACAAGGTGTAGTGGTGCATTAGGAAAAAAGGGTTGAGTGCTTTTTTCGCACATTAGGCCGAGTTTGAATGGAGCGCACATTAGGCGCATGCATTAATGCTCAACAAAGTAGCAAATGGGCCCTCAAGGAATTTGAGGGTTTGGTTCCACTTGCAATTATACAACATTGAGTATTATTAAGTATTATTTCTTTTAGATGAATGAATCTAAATTATTTTACCATCTTGTAATGTCCATCCTCAGAACTAGAATGTTAACTCTTCTGAAAATAAAGCGGTGTTCACTATAGGCTTCATTTTTAAAAACTCCTACGCTCACCAGCGACATCTAGGGGTGAACTGCATCTGCACGGATATAGGCTTTATAAATAAAGCTCTAGATCTCTCATGCGGAAGCAGTTTCTATAAAACCAAACACCTGTCTATAATAAATATTTTTTCCCCAGTTAGGCTCCATTCACACAGAAGAGGTTGCCCGCGCGTATTCAGCCATAGGAATGTGGGGCGGCTCGAAACATATAAAACTATGCGCATTGTTCAGACTCTTGCAGCGGCCGTGTGGTACGAAACCGTGAGGCCCGCAAAGTAGTCCAAGCGCTTTGTTTTGTTGGATTCCGCACGTTCGCATCTATAGTAAGAGCCGCAAACGACCGGAATCCGTGCATATAAAAGATTTTAGCGTTTGCGTGTTGCGCGGTCTTCCGCACGGGAAATGCAACTATATGCGACTGGAGCCCAAGACTGGTTAAGCAATCTTTTCTGTACACAAACAACTTAAAGAAATGAAAACAGTACTCACAGATGTTTGTGAAGGTCACCTCGTAACGTGCCAATTTAGCAATGTTTACATCAAAACAAAAATCTTGATCTAGACAGCCGACACTAAAATTCACAAGCTTAGAATCTGCCGGCTTCCTTAGATAATGTAGCAAGCAGGTGAAAGAAACTAGAGGATGTTCGGGGAATACACAGGTCAGTTTATTTAGCTGTGAAACAGCAACGGTTTCCTCTTGGCTCTGCACTTGAATCTGGGAAACAAAGAAGTGGAAGAAACAGATTTCACTGCACACTGTGGTAAATATAAAGGAAGTATGATAACATTATTTTACAAGCACATGACTGCTCATTTAAAAAAGTAAATGTCCTAAATGAAGACATGCATTCAGAAAAAAGGGCTACCAACACAAGGATTACTTCATGCAGGAGTTGTTGAAGACTGGGGGCATAGTTCAGTTAAATATCACACTGGAGAAAAACATACATGAGATTGCTAGATCACAGCTATTACAGCCCTATTACAAGTCAATGCTTCCACATTTGTGCTCCCTACAACTTCCTTAAAAATGACTTTGATATTTATCTCATGACAATGCATTATAAAAGATTAGAGGGAAAAAACAACAACATTAAAAGAGAAAAAAGGATGACAGAATAGGAAAATAGTGAGATCATGTGAAAAGAATTAGCCAAACCATTTAATTACTTAAAACCATAAAGAATATTTTTTTTTCCTTCACTGGAGTATGCATCTAGGTAGCAAAACACACAATATTGCCTGCTCTGGACCCGAGGACTGCACAATAAGTGCCAAAAGGTCTCATGCGGCCCTGAGCTGCAGGTTGGGCACAAGGGTTCTAGACTCCTAAAATCTGTGGGACAAAGATTGTTATCATAAGAACTTACAGCTATAAAAAAAAAAAAAAACCACAACATATCATCAAGTATAGAGAACAAAAACGTAAACAAATGTATTATAAATACACACACACAGAATGTATACATTATATATGCGTGCTAGGGAAGTAAATCTATTTCTAGTAACATTGAATCGACAAAAGCCCAGGCTAAACTTTGCTCTAAAACCAAATCGAGAAAGATTTGCACTGATGAAAAGCTTAGTGAATTTAGATAAAACCTGTTGGCTAACCTACACTGAGGAAAACAAGGATGTTGGATAGGTAAGTAAACCTGTCCTGATCAGCATCATCACCCACCCCCCGATATGCTGGTGCTGACTCCCCACAGCTCTGCTTATTATTTGCATAATGGAGTACAGTAAATACACCTTGCCCTGAGGGCGGAGAAAAATTGATGTATCAGCATAGGGGTAGTCCCCAGACGTTCTTTAAAATATTGAATGCCTGGATATCTAACTCAGGGCTGGATCCAGAATCCTTGATTTCACATTTTATTTTGAGAGGGAGAGAAAAAAGGAGATAGGTGGGAGTAGAGTGGGTAGATTAGATCCACTACAGAGGATATAGGATAATATTTTAGCATGTGGATACGAATAATGTATGGAGTATATATTATGTATTTATAATATGTATGTACTGTGGTGTTTTTGTTTTCTTTGTCATGGTTTGCTGTAAGACGATGTATGTGCAAATAACAATAATTAAAAGAAATTAATAAAAAAAAACAGACCTAAGGTAGAAAAGGAAAAAGCGCACACTGGCCGCCCAGCATTGCAATCATCGAAAGCCCTTCCCTCGGCGGGGAGGGCTTGCGATGATCGCAAGTACAATCGGCCTGTCCAAGATGGGCAGGTCGTATGAAATTTGAATCACCTTACAACCATCACACAACGAAAGTCATGCGATGGTTGTAAGGTGTATGAGCAGCTTTTTGAAATGTCAGTATCCTAGCTGGAATTCTGCTGAATCGAGGTGCATCTGAGCCCTCTGCTGGCTAATATTTGGTAAGGCATACTGGTATAGGAATGAGACAAGGATTCACCACTAGAGATTCACCACTTCTAACTGTAACACCATTTCCAACCTTTCCCTACCCTAAAACCACAAATACCAGCAGCAAAGTGTGTACCTACAACCATATGTGAAACCTGCTTTTACAACTAGTGTGATGCAAAAAAGAGACCTGACATAATACAAATACCTGAACATCCCAATAGATTGCTAAGTTACAGAAAGGGAATGCTGAATTAGGAAGAAACACTGCCTAGAGTTATAAAGTGAGTCTTCCCAATATGACAGAAAGACACGGCTCACACAGTCCATTGTAGGGGGGCACATGGGTATGTATGGCTGCTCTGTACTGCCCCTAAACATACAAGTCTTCTGGAATCCCCTCTGAATCAAACTTGCGTAGCACTCCATGCTGACAAATTAATTTTTAACTAACCAACCTTATAACAAGACTTTGCTGGGCACTATTGCTTTAGGAAGTTTTCATTGGTTAAAACAGAACTCCGGGCAAAACTGTTCTTAACCATTGCGGTGAAGCTACCTCCGCACTACAAGGGTTAAGCACTTGTTTTTGTCTAGGTGCTAAAATTAAAAGTTATACTCAGTGCTCACCCAAACAGTGGAGCCAGTTCCGAGAATCGGGCGAGTATAACTTTTTTATTTTAGCACGTAGACAAAAACAAGCACCTAACCCTTGCAGTGCAGGGGTAGTATAAATAAATGTAAAAAAATGATGAAGCTGGTGGAAAATGATAAGCCGAACAGTAGCTGTATCCTATCAGATATAGTCATTGTTCACCAACACCACTATATTCAGCCAGCTGCAGGTGCTGTGGCTGCAGAATGCGATAGCCTGCAATGCAGACTCCTTCAGCTGCAGTGGACTATCCTTCATCCACACTGTTTAGCCTGGATGGGAGAAATCAGTTTCAGTCTGGGGGCTGCATAACAGAACTGTGATGTGTATTGTTAGTACTTGTCTCTTGATAGTGACCAAGGTCATTTCCTGCGTGGAGTTTGTATGTTCTTCCCAACCACAATCCAAAGACATTGATAGTTTATTAAAGACTTTCAGCCAAACTGACCCTTTTCTTTTAAGTGTAGGACTTTACAGTCTACTGTCCCTGCCAAACTCCATCTGAGGAAGGGACTGATCAACTCTCTTGGATAGAAACTGCCAGTACTAAATAAAGTAACGTTACCTGAATAGTTGACCACGCTTGCTTGAAATTCCATTCTGCCTTATAACAGAAGCAGTGACTTTTGTTAAACACAATTCCATGACTCTGGTTCAGATATGTACAACTGTTACCTAAAATAAAATAAAGAAAATCTCAGAATCTTCCATAACAAAAGAAATGTATATAGACATACAAACTGCGAAAAATAACAGTATGATATCACACATGCCTTCCAAGTGCACATACTAGACCCTGCTCTCATTTCAACTTCCAAGTGCACATAGTAGCCACCTGCCAATGCTTTTATGCAAGAATGGTCAGATTATAAGAAGAAGTTCTTACCTAGTGTTATCACATGCGTCACAAAAATGACGCTATAGACAAACTGAACCCTGGAAGCTGTACAAAGGCAGGCATGGGTGAAAAGACTAGTCATCAGTATTGCCTATGGTCTACTTGCAGCTCATCTTTTCCCATAACCGACTTACTATGTCTTGTTCAGCAGTATGCCCCTGAGATTGACAGACAGATGCAGCAGTGTCTTAGATCTCACACTGCAGATATACAGCTATGAGACTGTAGGCACTCGAGTGCCTAGGCACACTCCCATACAGTACCGGGAATTACAATTTTTAGAAGAAATTCCAGATGAAAGGTAAATCGTTCAGGGTATGTTTTTAATGTTAGGACTAAGGCCCATAGAAAGAGCTGAAATGCATCAATGATCTTTTGTAGGCTAGTATATTGCCATGTGGAAATAAAGTTTATTCCGGGATGATCAACTCTGTGTGCGGGTTTTTGAACATGTGACATTGAAACCCTTACCTGAGCACCGTGGTTCCTAAAGCTGGCCATACACCTATAGACTATCTGCAGACTTTTTATGGTCAGATGGAAAAAGTGCAACATATTCCTCCATCTACGCTAAACTGTGTGGATGGAGGAATCTCCCACTGGGCCAAGCTTCAGTATCTTGCTAGTTGCTGGCTGTCAAAATACCTGAACAATCTAATTGGGTGCAGGCCTGGTTTTTGTATTTTGAGAGCCAGCGGAGCCGACTAGCAAGATACTGAAGCTTGGCCCAGTGGGAGATTGCTCCATCCACACAGTTTGACGTAGATGGAGGAATGTGTTGCACTTTTTCCATCTGACCACAGAAAATCTGCAGATAATCTATAGGTGTATGGCCAGCTTTACAATTTAATTTGGTTTGGAGGGGCTAGAGCAGCTTTCCTTTTCTGTTTGTACTGCTGAGGAACAATTAACATTTCTAGATGTTCCCTAGAACATAGTAAATCTTTTCTTTTTAATTTCTGGTGCACTTAAGGGCTCATTTACACTGGAACATAACAGTAATGTTTAGTAAACCCTCCATTTCTGCATTTCACTCACTTTTACCAAGATCTACGGTAGCACATGCACTGAGGTACAGCACAAATTATTTTGAATAGCACCACAATGCACCGTTACAGTAGCAAGCAACATGCCCACACACGTAGCACATCACAACCCATATGCTACATGTTGTAGTGTATACAAAAAGAAAAAAAAAAGAAGTACATCTACAAAATTTAGTAAGCAGTCTCTCCATTTAAAATGAATTGGCTGCCTTAACGCACAGCAAAATATGATGTTAATACAACACAATGTAACTGGGCGTGAAGAGTTTCCTTAGCACCTTTATAACATGCCACCCAGGGACACATCTCCCTTCAGTGGAACCTTTCAGGATAAAAACACTGGAGCTGCTATTGATGATTTCTTTTTTTCAGAGTCATACTCAAGTACATTGCATGACACTTAAGTATATAACAGGTGTCAGGACACACAATATGCTCAACCTTGCTACTGGTCAGCGACCAGTTATCTAGTAATCGTTCGAGCTCGATCAAGAACCACAAAGAGGATGAATATTGCACTCCAGTAGGACATCACTACTCCCAAAAGGATCACTCCATCCAAAACCTCAATATTAAAGTACTAAAAGGGAATTTTAAAAACTCTCATGAAAGACGTATTCCCCCCCCTCCTCTAACAGCTTTCTCCTGTCTTAACTGACAAACTGTCATGTTGCTTAGTATTGCTTCTGACCTGAAGGAGAGGTTCACTCTCGAAAGCGTTGCACGACCGTCGCGCGTTTCCGAAGGCTACTTGGCCCAATGGAAACGCGCAACAAAACGGCCCAAAGTAGTACCTGTACCTTTTCAGACGTGGGCCGTTTTGTAGTGCGTTAGGGACGGGCGGAAATACGCCAAGGTGGGAACGAGACTAGAGCCAGAATACAATGGGATTTATATTTTTGAGCGTTTTGTAGAGCGTTCGTCGAGCGTAGAAACGTGCTACAAAACGTTCAGGTGTGAACGAGGGCTTACAATGTTACTTAGCAGATCAGGGAACACAAACTAGTTCCATTATCCTCTCAGTAAGGCCACACATAGATATCAGGTAGCATTGTAAACAAGCAGTTTCAAGTCAAACATTTGGCTATCTAAAAAAGATCATTTATATGAAAGATAATTCTTAAAGCGACACGTCTTGACATGTGTAGTCTACAAATAAACAATCTTTCACTTTTAATTACTGTTAATGGAATCTTGTTCATATAAAAGATGTTTCCTATATCTGATTACGCACTAAGTCCTATATCCGGGTAAATAATAACCTCCCCTTGCAGTGAGTCTACCCCCGCACTGCAAATGTTCACTGCTCCTTTATGTCTAGGGGAGCGGTGTAAAGCAGTTTACTTGCCTGAATCCCACTGCCACAGGCTCCAAGACTGGCGCACAAAGCCTCTATTGCCTACGCTCCTGACATCATCATGTCTAATGCAGAGTCCATAGCCCTGCATTATAGGAGGGGAAGCCAAGTGACAGTCTACAAGTCAATGGTGAACTGGGGGAGCGGAGATCAGGTAAGAAACTGCTTTACCCAATACCCTAGACATAAATGAGCAGTGCAGAGGTACCTTGTATTATTTAGATGTAGTTGTACATGCCTTTAAAGGAGAAATATGAGGTGAGTGCTTTTCACTCACCTCATAGTTCTAGCCGACCTGTGACAATGAGACTGTCACAGGTCGGCTCAGTAGATCGGGAGGTGAGCGAACACATACCGGCGTTCGCTCACCTCTCGATCCTGGCACAGCTATCTGCCGTGACAGGGGCTGGATTCCCCCCTCCCCGCTCCGCCAGCGCTGACTGGTGGATCGGACGGGGGAGGGGGCTGGTACAGCTGGCTCTGCCTCTAGATAGGCAGAGCCAGCTGTCACTCACGCAGCTGGGCGGATCCCGGCATAATTGTCAGGATCCGCTTCAGCGTCTCAGTATACCGCCAGCTGTAGCTCGCGGTATACTAAGCCTAGGGTGACGGGAGGATGCTAGTTTGTGTCCTCCCGTTACCCTGAGAACTATGGGGAAAAGCCCTAACCCCATAGTTCTCCTTTAAGCGATGTGTGGGGACTTGGTGTGAACCAAGTGCGTCCCAAGCCCATGCAAAACGGTCAATAACACACAGCCCTTCCAGCCCTGTGCATGCTTGGATTACCTCAGTTTGCACCAAGTCCCTGCACGTCACCAAAACACACTTACGACTAGAGCTAATGTAATACATGTTACTTTTTTTTTTTTTCACATAACTTCTATATCCTCCCTGTGGTTCAAGCTCTCCCACCGGTCAGTATTGTACAAGAACTTGGGTATTTACGGTATGCAAACCTACGTAATCAACTGTTTGGACTCAACCAGCTCCCCGAACAGTAGGTATTGTACACTGTACCGTATGTTAGAGCTAATTTCCTCTACTCCTCGCTTAGCAACCAATTCACTTAATGACAGTCATAGGAACATATTTTGGTCATTAAGCGGGGAGTATTTGTATATATCAATGTCTGGTGATCCTGCCACGAAGGTCCTTTGTTAATAGTGTGACAACACATCTGTCCATGTCTGCAAACAGCTCTTCTGTGTTGTCACCTTGTTACACAGGCTTCTGATGAAAGTGACCGTTTTAACACATATGTCATGAGCATGGCACATTGTTGTCACGATGATAAAAACCACCCAGAGAATTACAATGCATACAGACAGGAAGTGGCTGCAGAAGATTGGCCGGAAGTGAAGCTGTAAACAAGTATTTCATTTAAAAAAAAAAAATGGTACCGGTTTTTGATACAGAAACTGAATGCCATCGGTTTATGGTCGTCTTGTATTTTAAATGTGCTTACCTTGCTGGCCCCGTGCACAGCCCACAAGCAGAGTGTGAACAATGCCGCACACCGCACTCCACACATCGAACCCTCCAACTCTCATCTTTCTCCTTCTATTTGAACTGGCGCTTAGGAAGGGCAGGCTAGAGCAGCCGAGAGCCGATCACTGAGCTAGAATCATTATAGCTTTCTCGGTCTTTTTCTGGCTCAGGACTGGCGGTTTCTAGTGATCATATACCAGCAGCGTCCCGGCCAGCAGCCCATGAGACAGCAGTGTTCAGGTGAGCTGGTGACAGAGCTTCCACAGAGGGTTCGCACGAAGCAGGATCAGGAGGATGGAAGAGGGGCGGAGGTTGATTAGTCTGGCCTTCTGTGTACGGAAGTGGAGTGTTGGTTACGCTTTGCCCTGTGTATGGACCTTGCGGGTAAATGTGGGCGGGGCCGGGCTGGGGGCTTGGTGTGAGCTGTGACAGTGACTTGTTTTTTTTAGGACAAGAGACATGATGTGTGAGTGTGGTCACCTGCACAGGTAGCTGAGCCCAGTGTAAGCACAATACCTGGGCTTTTGAAATGTGAAGATCTTTAAAGTGACATTAAAGGTTTTTGTTTTTTTTGCAATATTTACTGCTGAGATGACTTACAATGGGTGCAGCTTTGGACCTTCACGCTGAAAAAAACATTTGCCCCCCTTAATCCTTCCTGCACCTCTGCATCCAGTTGTTTTTTTATATTGTTTGGTTACCCTCCCCCCCCCCCTTTTTTTTTCTTCAATGCATGTTCGTGCCGATCTGCAGTGCTCCTGGGATATGCACATCACATATCCCAAGAGGCATGGGAGGAATCTGGGCCTGGAGGTGCATCATCAGCTGCTGGCTGCCTGACAGTTATCTCCCAATGGTGTCAGTGAAGGAGATGGTGGCAGGGACCAGACAAGTGGCAGCGGAATGCAGATCACTGCAGGACATTGCAGTGAATTGTATTTTAGGTGGGGGGCGGGGATTGTAGTTTAGGTGAGGGGTACACTGACTGGGGTTGTTTATATATTATATATATGTATATATATAGTGTGTGGGTGTATTTTTTCATGTGTATTGGGGGGGGGGGGGG